GTGATTGACAGACTGCACTCGTCCATTTCATAGCAAAAATGCACTAGACAAAAGCAGCTTTATAACAAAAATCCAGGCACTGGTACACGTTGATTCTCTGATGGTCACGATTCTTCACTTAGTTGCATCACAAGTAACAAGAATAAAAAGGCCACGGTTGATAAATGCTCACCATTACGTCTATAAACATGTTTAAACCACTGTACAAGCTTGACGGCAAAGAAACACAGATTGGTGAAACCGGCTCCACTTATTCGGAGAGGTGATTAGTCGATGTTTCATCCCTCCTGTCTGGCTGTGTTCAGTGTGTTGTGCTTGGACTTGCTCACAAGTATGAGGCAGTTAAATTAAGGATTACATTTGTAATTTTTTTCTCACCTTTTATGATGTGAAAGGTTAACCACACAAACTGGAAGACTATGGGTTTGCATAATCATTCAGTAGACCTGTTTTCAAAGAATATCCCTTGAATTAAGTTATTTTTTGCATTGCATTTTGCATGCATAAAAAAACCCTTTGCCAATATAATAATAATAATAATAATAATAATAATATTAAAAAAACATTCAAGATATGTTATCTTGAAACAAGTCTTAAAATGTTCTGCAATTTTACTTCTGTAGTAAATGCATCTTGTTTTAAAGGTGAATCATTTCACAATGACTGTTTTCCAACAAGTTTCCGCCTTTTCCATTGGACACGCAGTAAAACATTTTTTTAAGTACAATCAACTTGGATGTTTTAGTCATTTCAACTTAAATTACATTAAACTGACTTTAAATGGGTTGACTCTTGTATAACTTATAAAAAACGTAGTGCTGTGCAACAATTAATCACATCCAAAATAAGTTTGTTTACATAATGTATGAGTGTACAGTGTATACTTATTTTGTATACACAAATGCATGTATACTGTATATATATACATAATTTACATTATATAACACATTTTCTTAAATATATGCATGTGTGTGTATTTATATTTACAGCACACACACACTTACATTATGTAAACAGAATTTTTTTTATTTTAGATGCGATTAACCATGAATAATCGTTGCTCAGCACTAAAAAAAATGTTGAAAATTGATCATATTTTTTTTTCAGTGCAGGTAGTCTCACCCCAAACTCATAAATGTAATGTTTGGCATCACAAACTTCAATTGTAAAGATATTTTTACCTGAAAATATGGCTCTATGCTGTGTAACCCTTTATTGTTGGTCTGTGTGTGATTGACATCTGCACTTTGATCCACTTTACTGATGTGAAAGGTCAGCGAGCTTCATCTGGCAGTGGATATCGAGGATGATTTGAGCGACTCTCTTTATTGAAATCAATGACACGAATAATCACAAAGCGCAGATGTGTCGACCTGCAGCACACGGCAAACACGTTGAGAAATCAGCAAAGACCAGTTGTACGTCGCTGTTTGCGTCAAATAATCTTTATCTCACAATCCTCCATGTGAGGAGCACTTAAATAAACAGAGATGACACTGCCAAGGGTTGCTTTCTGAGAATTTAAAAGATCGCTTACAGTTCAGTTCTGCATTTGACTAAAAAAAAAAAAGAAAGAAAGAAAAGAAATCAGTTCATAAAAGCAAGAACAAGTATGTACATTATGAACAACCAAGAGGAAAACATCATCTTTTCCACTGCAATCATAGTAATTCAATTGGCTACAACAACATGATGTGGCACAAGGAGAGAATTAGTCAAACATCTTTAGCACTGGCAAAACACAACTTCAGATGTTCAAAGTTTACTGAAGGACGAGAACACTAGCATGTCTGAAGCAATGCAAAAGTACAGATGTACCACACGTTTCAATACTAGGCTTTTGCTGGAGTGTCTTTCTGAACCTGAAAATAAAGTGGAAAAACTGACAATGTGCATGTTGCGGAAAATGTTTAGGCATAAGATTTAATATTTATGTGTTTGGATTGAATGTAAATTGTCCATGCATTTAGATTGCACCGTTTTAACAATACACTCCTGAAGTGAACACACTGCATGTTTGTCATTCATACATGGTTTCTTTTCTGTCGTGTATTTATTGTGTCATTGAGAGGAAAGCGTGTTTTCATATTAATCTAAAAGGTCGTCGGGATGTTCGTGAACAGTATATCAATACAAAGGCATTTCTAACTGGTTTTTACTTCTAAAGCGAAAAATGAAGAAGAACATCGGCGTGAATATATCCCGATAGCACACGTACATCACAGAGACGTCTATTTGATGTGTGTGTTTACATCTGGAAGACGTATTTTTTCAGAGTGTTTGCTCATCTGCAATACGTCTACAATACGTTTCCTGTCAGATGTCAAATAGACGTTTAGAAGATGTCTTTAAGATGTAATGATTTAGAATGTATGTTAAACTGAGATCTTAAAGATGACTAGAAAACAGCAGATGCTTTCCAGATGAAGTGATCTTTAACAGACATCTTGCAGACGTACGTGTGCTATCTGATATCAGGGCCTTGAATGGGTGCTTCTCAGAATCCCTCCTCGATCCTCAATCCTATGACCCAGGAACCAATCAAGCTCAGCCATCATGAAGCACATCTCAATTCTCTAATTGCGCCGTGAGGAGCTTCCAGAGGAGTTACGAGTGAGGATACACGTGTCAATCTATTCGGAAGTGTTCAAAGGGATAGTTCATTTTTAAATTAATTTTTGGTATGTTTTGCCTTACCTCAAGGGGCATCCAAGATGTAGGTGTCTTTGTTTCCACAGTATTTTCAATTTTGACATTTTTCAGTCAAACTGTTGTTGTCTATCAGTCATACACTGGAGGCTAAGGGGGTCTACCAAAAAGCATGCACAGAGAAGTTAAAATTAAACATGATTTAATGACTCGTAAATGTAAGTACACATTGATGGCCTAAGACACGAAACGAGCGTTTTTTGTGAGAAAACGAACTGTATTTATATCGTTTTTACCTCGTGTAATAACAATGATCTGAATCAGTTGTTCAATGTCCAACTGAACCGAACTGAATCAGTTCAATGTTACGCCGGAAGTGATCGCTTGCGTGTGATGTCACTCAATATTTACACCGAGATTTCGGAAGTTTTACCTTTTACTAAACATATTTCGATATACCGAAATCGTCTTCCATTGCGGTTTCCCGTATATCTAAATATGTTTAGTTAAAGGTAAAACTTCCGAAATCTCTGTATAAACAAAGAGTGACGTAGGCGCGCAAGCGATCATTTGCAAGCGCCCGTGCCGTCAGATCATTTTGTCATGGCTATGATTACACGAGGTAAAAACGATATAAATTCTGTTCGTTTTCTCACACAAACCGCTCGTTTCGTGTCTTAGGCCATCAATGTGTACTTACATTTACGAGTCATTAAATCATGTTTAATTTGGACTTCTCAGTGCATGCTCTTTGGTGGACCCCCTATGACTTATAGACAACAACGGTTTGACTGAAAAATGTCAAAATTGAAAATACTGTGAAAACAAAGACACCTACATCTTGGATGCCCTTGAGGTAAGCTAAAACATATCAAAAATTAATTTCAAAGTGAACTATCCCTTTAATCAACTAGTATTCCAATGTATAAACAAGCTTCCTTCGATTCCTCCGTCCTCTTTTTCTACCCTCACGTCCACAGGAGTGGAGCTGAGATGCCAGGAAAGGAAACAAGGATACACAAGTAAGAATTGACCCTACGCAGGGAGTTTGATTGACAGGCGATCTGACCAATCATAATGCGCCATCCGCCATTTTTGTCTGAAAAAGCAGTCGGGAGATAGTAGCTTAATGTTGGAGGATTTTCCAACACAGTCTCATGAGAGTGCGTATCTATACCACGAATGTCATTTCTTGTGGCATTTTTTCGCCAAAAATGTTTTTTTTTTTTTTTTTGCGTGCATATTTTAAGCACTGAAACCCCCTAGGGTAGGTTTAGGGGGGAGGGGAGTGGGGAGTTTGTGCGTATTATATGCCATAAAGTGAGTATGCACAAGAAAAACGCGTACCATATAAACGCAAAAACTATTTTTGCCGTATAAATGGCACGAGAAATGACATTCGTGCTATAGATATGAACTTTTTATGAGATCAGGCTCGATTTTCTCATTAACTGATGTTTATTCATGTTTATTTGATGCTACTGTATAAATGAACTAACAGGAAGAGATGATCGGTTCACGAGCGGCTTTAACCGAGGCTCTACATCGATCTGTCGGAAACATTAAAGAGCCACAAAACGGTATTTATTGTTTAAATTTCAAAAGGCTTTGTTTCATATCAAAAGTAAGCTGGTGTGTCCTGTCTGTCAGCGCGATGTATATTTCACTGTGTGAGAACATGGTGTGTTTGTTGTGAGAGTGGAGTGGCTTGTTGTACATAGCAACAGTAACTAAAGGGGGAGAGTGTTTGCGAACGGTCAATTGAGAAGCAGCCAATGAATCACGTAAAGTGTCTTGTACGTCACGTTTGCGCAATGGCGCTAATAGAGTGCCGAAGTTACGACGTCACTCTGTAGGCCAAAAGGCGGAAGTGAGTTAGCATTTTAGCACTACGGTTCCCTCGCTCTAAAGCCTATGGGATTTTTGAATTGGTTTTTGCTAAATCGCCTAAAATAAGGTCTGTGGTGAACAGAGCCTTTAAATATTTTCACGTTTTGATCTATGACATAGAACACACAGTTATAACCAGCTTGGTTTTTTTAAACTTTATTGTCTCTGATTGTGTTTTTTAAAATCTTTATATAGGCTTCAAAATGTATAAATTTTGGATTAATTTTTAAAGATTATCTTGCTAGACAAAACGTGTAAGGGTCACAACTCTTTGTTAAACACAGATCTTATTTTTGGCGATTTTCCAAAAGTCTACGGGGAAAATGCATTGCTTTTCGACCGAGGGAACCCATGCGCCGCTAGCTTCCGAGTTGTCCTACAAAGTGACGTCATCACTTCGGCACTCTATAACAAGGGTTTCTGAATTCTATATAAAATTTGTCTAGCTGTGGAACAAGTGATAGAGTAAACAAATTTGATTTATTGAGGATAAAAATATAAACATGGTTACTTTGCATTAAAAACACATTCAGTTTATTGGTATTATTACAGAAATCTGACTTGTTTCATTAATGTAGGGTAGACAAATATGCATAGTTTGTATGTTAAAACGGCATCATCCAAATGCATGGAATATTTATACGCAATTCATAGACATCGATCTTAAATTCAGGCCCGAGTTTTTTTTTTTTTTGAGTGTGAGGGCATCCGAGTCGTCATTTCAAAGTCGTTTCGAGTCGATTCTTTCAGCGATGTGTCACGAGTCTCTTTACAAAAAGTGATAACGTAAATTAAGGTCTGATTGTTGACACACGTTAAACGCTAACCAATCACGTCTTGACCAGGCCACATGATCAACGGCAGGAACGCAGTAAACAAACGTCGTCAGCCCTGCTCGTGACTTCTATTTACACAGAAAATACTCAATTAAAAAAATGACAATGTGGATGAGAGAATTATCATATAGCTTTGCTTCCCGACCCCACCACCCACCTTTAGAAAAGAAAAATGTCCCCAGAAATATAAACAAATTTTTTTTTTGCTTTTGTTCTCACTACATTTTCAATGTGACACGTTTCAACACACAATGACCCCCCCCCCCCAAAAAAAAAGAAAGGAAAAAAAAACTGATACAACGCATTTCTAAACACAAAATAACAACAGTCTACATGTAAAAATATAACTTTTACATACACAATTTCAAAATAATGGTAAGTTTGCATTTGTTGCGTACAATTTACAAATGTCCGTGTTTCCCTTTGCCGGCCGCAGCTTTAGCGAGAGCGGCACTTCGGTCCCGTTACGATCGCGACGACTTTATGAAAAAAATATCACAACAGAGTCACACGTCTCTCTCGGACGTCTCCAGAAAGCAAGAAACATCGATCCTCGTGAACTCTCCTTTCCGTCGGACTCTCCTTTGTTTATATACTGTATATATTTCTACATTTATATATAGCGATTTTTCTAATAGACTTTATGTCCACTTTCAGTGCCTCCTGTTGATAAAACCACCGCCGATCCTCAAAGATCGCCTGCGGGTTCGTAATCATATTTTTTTTTAACCTTTTTTGACAGAGAAACCAGTACAGACAAAGAATAGAGAGATAAAAAAAGAGAAAAGCCATTTTACACGTACGACCACACATTTGTACTGAGGACTACAGCGGCTCAACAACAAGCCAGTTTTCATAAAAGCTGATATCTATAATACAATGCTCAATAACGACGTGGTGACAGGTGGGCGGGGCTGTGGGTGGAGCCACGAGGGGGTGGACACACCTTCTAATTACATATAGCCATACAGTACATTAAATACAGTTTATCCCAAAAAAATACTTTTTTGACCTTTTTACTTGTTTGTGTTTTTTTTTTAAATCCCAGGCCGCAAAAAACCTGACTGCATAGACCTAATGACTAACGTTTTCCTAAGCTTGCATCCTAGAAAGTTCTGATAATGTTCTCCTCCAGTTGTGATGATATGAGCTCTAAAAGGCACGTTGGTTGAAGTTTAGTCATGTTAAAATTGCATCTTCGGGGTCCGGGAGGGCTTGAGGAGAGAAGAAGGAACAAATGAACGAAGAGAGAAATGACCTAACGAATCTCTAAAGTGAGCGCGAGGTCTTCGAGAGCAAAGACGGTCCGGTGAAGGAACGTTCCGGCCTCTAGACCTTCAGCTGGACGTCCTATTTTGTGGTGGGGGGGGGAAAGAAGTAAAATAACATTATTGCGAACGGTTTTGTGAAATTCTACAGCCTAATTCCGTCGTGCGTTTGATTGACAGCCCCTCTCGTCCCAAGGTTCCGATTGGGAATTTTCAGAGTTCTATTCTTCCGCCGGGAGTTCCGTGAGGCACAGCTACAAAAGTTCCACAGTGTGGACAGGATTGCCATTGAAATCAGAGGGCTGGTCTCGAGCCGACCTCCAAACGTCTGTACAACTTCATGATATGTTTGAAGAATCCTCCGTCTGTCTGCACCTTCAAATCTTTTGTGTGTGTGTGTGTGCATAAAAACGTCTTCTTTTTGAACTGGGAATGCTCGGAGGAAGATATGGACAGCCATCCCACGTGACTCTGCCATGTTTCCGTAATTTACAGTATATATATATCTATCCGCACAGATGGCGTGAGGAACAGGAACACATAGAAGTTGGTCGGTCAGGTGGAAGTTTGATTGATTGGTTGATTGTTTGAGTGGCGTTCAGGGGCAGAAATAACACTGTCAAAGGAAGTGATCGCTCATCATTTTGATGAATTCTGGCAGCTTGGACCTGATAGAGAGAGAGGGAAGTTAACATATAGAACATATTCATAAAGTATCGCGAACACGCTAGTACAGTGGTGATGGAAAAGAATATGAAATTGGAGATAATTCAATCTTTTCACGTTCTTTCGCAGACATTTCAGTGCAAAACATTTGCGAGAGAACTCATTTTTTTTCCTTAACCATAGATTTTCTCATTTAATCAGAGATTGTTATGAGAAAAACACACACACATTACTGTCATGCAAAAAACATAATGGATCTTCAATCAGTAAATGATACTTTATAGACACAATGATTTTGTTATATTAAAGTTCACTTTTAAAAAAACTTTGTCACCCCCATGTCATCCAAGATGTCCATGTTATTCTTTCTTCGGTCGAAAAGAAATTAAGCTTTTTGATGAAAACATTCCAGGATTTTTCTCCATATAATGGACTTCATTGGGAACCAAACGATTCAAGGTCCAAAAGACAGTTTCAGTGCAAACTGTTCAAAGAGCTTTAAACGGCACCAGACGATGAATAAGGGGCTTATAAAGCGAAACGATCGCTCATTAAAAAAAAATAAAGTTCAAGTTTTTGGTGTCATTCAATGAACGAAATGAACGAACTGACTCGGGAAAAGATTCGTTCATTTTGATGAACAAGTTCGAACCAGAGAGTCACGAACGTGCATCACAGAACAGAGCAAGGTGAGCATTTGAGCTTATAAAACGTAAACTTTTTAAAAAAAATTTTAAATGAACATCTGGAATCGATGAATTGAACAGTTTGCAGTTTGCACTGAAACTGTCTTTTGGACCTTGAACTGTTTGGTTCCCATTTAAGTCCATTATATGGAGAAAAATCCTGGAATGTTTTCATCTAAAACCTTCATTTCTTTACGACTGAAGAAAGAAAGACGTGGAAATCTTGGATGACATGGGGGTGAGTAAATTATCAGCTAAAGTTTTTTTTTTTAAAGTGAACTACTCCTAAAATAAAATGCAATATAAGAAAATATCACACTAAATATACTGTTATAAAAAAAAAAAAACTCGCAATCAAACCAAACTACAGATTCTACACAATTTATAGATTATATGTCATGCAAAACAACTTAGTCCTAAAATGAGCTTCATATTCTTTATACAAAATAAAATTTTTGTGTTTTTTGTTGTTGATTGTTTAAATATTTACAAAAAAACAACAAGTACAGTAGAGGCTTAAAGTGATTATTAATGACTGTACTAGTTCAATTAAACCATCGAAATATGAGGAAAATAATATTTCTTTCATATTTTAAATATGAAGAGCAGATCATCACTAATCTGACAAAATGATTTGGCAAAAAAAAAAAAACTACATCTACACGTTTTAATAACTATGCTAAAAATCAGTGCACAGAAAAAGAAAAAGCTGAACATAATCAGGTATTATATCAAGTTGGTTCTGTCTTGTTTTGGCATGTTTTTGTATAATTGTCTTGATTACACAATTCGTCATGTCTCATTGCGTCATTATCACGAATAAAACAATCGACTCCAAGCACAACTACACAATATGCTTATAAAAAACACTATTTCAATCTTTCTACTTTAATCTTTCCTACATTTAATTCAGAGTTACTTGCAATGTCTTTGTAATTAAATGTGAAATGCACTAGCAATATCTGATTGAAAATGATTTTTCAGTGCATATTTCATATCAGTAATCATAGAAGAGCTTTAAGATATGATACTGACACTAATAGCAGTGATTTGACTTTCAGAAAACAGATCTGTCTTCCACTTTGCCTCTAAAAATGTGATATTTAAAAATATCCACGGAGAATATGTGCTTCCATAATAAAATATGCTAATTATTTCAGATGAAAGAAATCCACACCTTCAATTCTACCTTAATTATAAGTTGTAAACTCATTACCGGCACATTTACAATGGGGAACATGAACCTTTGGAATCTGTTCACACCCATAATGCCATGTGAACATTGCACTGTTCAGCTTTAACCTGATGTTGCGCACACACTCACAGTACAACAAACAAACAAAACAAGCAATAAAACACATTATAAACATCTGAATGAAATGGTCAGTGATATTGTGCACATGTACCTTTTAATGTTCAAATGTGCATTGTGTACAAGTATCATGCTTTAGCTTTATTAATTGAATATATTGTGAATGAATCAAATTGAGTCTATAGTTTGAAATCAAAATCTATATGTACACATATTATAACCCACACATACGGCCAATCTGTTGTTAAAATGCGCCCATTGTTACACTTTTAGAGGTTATTATTAGGATTTGCTTTTGTTGCCACCAACAGAAAACCAGTCCGTTGAGTTGAAGTGGCATGAGACCAATGAGGGGAAGTCCAAACGCTCTGCATCACTTTTACAATAATTCTGTTCAGTCGTGCCAAACTTTGAGACTAAACACGTGATTGCAGTGAAAAGGCTTGTTTGTTCACACCGAATTGGAGGTTTTGGTTTGGGTTAAAGGCACATTCATGGGACATGTACAACAGCAGATTAGTGTAGAGTGAAATATTCTGACCATTTATGGGGGGGGTGTGGCTCTTTACATTTGTCCCATGGGATTGGACGCCTCGCCCATGCTGTGGTGGGAACCGGCCAATGAGAGCGCAGCACCGTCCGACGACCCCTTCTCCTCTTCTCGTCTCTTCAGACACGCCGCTTTTGGATTGAGATTACGCTCTGGAACGAGAACACACACACACACACACTCTGGTTTACTGATGATCCACTGCGTTGGAGAAACTCTGAACAATGTGCTTGTGTCGCTGATACGCCGCCATCAAGAGGGATGAACGTGTCATTACGGCCAAACAGAAGCAACGTGTTGCCGGATTCACTATGAGAATAGAACATTTCATAAATAATTACAGAGAAACGACTAGTAACACGAGGAATTTAACGTGAAATTTAGTAAAACGTATTTTCTTGTAAAACGTATTCCAATAATTTGTTTAATTTGCAACTTTTGTATAGTGTAAAAGACTTTAATATTTCTAATATCATTGAAAAATACTATTATTTACAATGATTAATCTTATAAGATATAAATATTAATAATTTATATATATAATTAAATATAAACAATATTAAATTGTTTATTTTTAATATAGATCATATTTTTTATAGTGTAGAAGAAATCACACACACATATATATAAGATTTTCATAATAATATTATAAATATATTACTTTATATTACTATATTATTTTTACTATTAACTATAAACAATTACAGGTACTATATTCATTATAAAACATTTTAAAATCTTAAACACTTATTAATATTTATAAAATAATTTAAAAATAATATTATTTATAATTATTAATCATGAAATTTAAACATTAATAATATGAAATTGTGGATATATATAATAAAAATAGTTATTTTTATTAAATATAAATAATATAATAGTTTTTCTTATTAGTGTAAATAAAATAATATTAATATATAAATATTATTTTGACATATTAATCTTTATTTACTTTATTAATTATATTTGCAATAATCCAATTTTTAGGAAAAGGAAAAACAGTCCAAAAACATTGTAGTCCGAGTAAACAGTGGCAAAAAATAAAGAGATGTTTAAAATCTTAGCAATATTAGTTTTACGGCCGCTTTCGAAGCCGTTGTAAATGACTTCACAAACACACACACACACACACACACACACACACACACCTGTAAGCGCATTCAATTAGTGTTACACACTCACACACATCTGTGAGTGCATTACAATAGTATTACTGCGCAACCGCCGTTTGTGATTCTTTGTTGCTGCATGTGTATGGAGCGAATTATGTGCCTAAACCTCACACACAAACAAAACGTGTTTTACTCACACCCAATGATTCACAAACAAACTCAGTGTGGTTTGGAAATACAAAACATCACTCACAAACTAATGCATATTGTTCTGCAAATAGAAAAACGTACAAACAAATACAGTATGTTTTACATATACATAGAAACGTATTTCTTCAATGACCAAAATATCCTGCAAGTACAAACGAAAATCTTTAAAAGTACAAAACAAAATTCTACAAGTACAAAACAAAATTCTACAAGTACAAAACAAAATTCTACAAGTAGTACAAAACAAAATTCTACAAGTACAAAACAAAATTCTACAAGTACAAAACAAAATTCTACAAGTACAAAACAAAATTCTACAAGTACAAAGCAAAATTCTACAAGTACAAAGCAAAATTCTACAAGTACAAAACAAAATTCTACAAGTACAAAACAAAATTCTACAAGTACAAAACAAAATTCTACAAGTACAAAACAAAATTCTACAAGTACAAAGCAAAATTCTACAAGTACAAAACAAAATTCTACAAGTACAAAGCAAAATTCTACAAGTACAAAGCAAAATTCTACAAGTACAAAACAAAATTCTACAAGTACAAAACAGAATTCTACAAGTACGAAAAACTGTCACGTGACTTTTGGCACTATTTTTCCGCGTCCAGGCAGAATCAGATTTTCTCACAAATACAGTTGAGCAACTTCCTCTTCTACACTGAACGAATTTATTACTTTCGTTTCGTTCTCAATACATTAATGAAAACATTTAATTTAATGGAAAGGAGGGTTTCATTTGTCTGTCCAAAATAATAATTTGGACAATAGCCTACATCACAGGGAAGAAACAACTGTATATTGTTTGTTTTGTTCATTCATTATTTTATTACATTAACAGTTATGCTGACTGAATTCCAACTAGATTAATGAATAAGTGGGACCCTTTCAATTAAATGAAATGTTCTCATTAATTTATGGAGAACGAAAGAAATAGAGTCATTCAGTAAATGAAACATTTTTACAAAAATGTAAAAAGCAACATGATGGCAGAGCTTTCAGCTTATAGATTCCCTTATCCTAGAGTGGAGTGCTACTAAGTTACTACTAAGTGCTATGGTGGATTTCTGTCTATATAATAAACATTTACCAAAACCACAATAAGGTTAATTATAGATAAAGTTAGACAGAAACATACCTGTTCACCGCTCATTTTCCCATGGGCAAAGGCAGCAAATTGATCTCTTATCTTAGCGCCATCTACTGTTCTAGAAGAGGAAGTTGCTCAACTGTATTTGTGAGAAAATCTGATTCTGCCTGGACGCGGAAAAATAGTGCCAAAAGTCACGTGACAGTTTTTCGTACTTGTAGAATTCTGTTTTGTACTTGTAGAATTTTGTTTTGTACTTGTAGAATTTTGTTTTGTACTTGTAGAATTTTGTTTTGTACTTGTAGAATTTTGCTTTGTACTTGTAGAATTTTGTTTTGTACTTGTAGAATTTTGTTTTGTACTTGTAGAATTTTGTTTTGTACTTGTAGAATTTTGCTTTGTACTTGTAGAATTTTGTTTTGTACTTGTAGAATTTTGCTTTGTACTTGTAGAATTTTGTTTTGTACTTGTAGAATTTTGTTTTGTACTTGTAGAATTTTGTTTTGTACTTGTAGAATTTTGCTTTGTACTTGTAGAATTTTGTTTTGTACTTGTAGAATTTTGTTTTGTACTTGTAGAATTTTGCTTTGTACTTGTAGAATTTTGTTTTGTACTTGTAGAATTTTGCTTTGTACTTGTAGAATTTTGTTTTGTACTTGTAGAATTTTGTTTTGTACTTGTAGAATTTTGCTTTGTACTTGTAGAATTTTGTTTTGTACTTGTAGAATTTTGTTTTGTACTTGTAGAATTTTGCTTTGTACTTGTAGAATTTTGTTTTGTACTTGTAGAATTTTGTTTTGTACTTGTAGAATTTTGCTTTGTACTTGTAGAATTTTGTTTTGTACTTTTAAAGATTTTAGTTTGTACTTGCAGGATATTTTGGTCATTGAAGAAATACGTTTTATGTATATGTAAAACATACTGTATTTGTTTGTACGTTTTTATTTGCAGAACAATATGCATTAGTTTGTGAGTGATGTTTTGTATTTACAAACCACACTGAGTTTGTTTGTGAATCATTGGGTGTGAGTAAAACACGTTTTGTTTGTGTGTGAGGTTTAGGCACATAATTCGCTCCATACTATGTGTTGCTTGGCAACCTCTCTGGAACTACATTCCTTGGCGGAAGAATAAATGCGTTATAGCGTTATTTTTATTGCTGGTGTTTATTATGCATAAAATAAATATTAAAATGAATGTTTTTGTGGAGTAACTGTTTTATAAAAGCAATTTGTGATCTACAGTGAGTTTATGGAGTTTTAGGTGCTCGGCTCCAGTCGTAGCTAACAGCGCCCCCGGCGGCTCTACATGCTCATTGCTTTAGTAAGCACTGACCTCGGACCTGCTGCTCGAGGCTGAGGATGACGGCGACGGCCTGGTGCAGGATCAGGAGTTTGGTCTGGGGCTTGTCACTCTTCAGGTGGAGTTGCACCATCCGGCCCAGCTCTTTAAAGGCCTCGTTGATGTCGCGCACGCGCAGCCGCTCGCGGGCGTTATTCGCCATCCGCCGCTCCTTCTCGCGCTCCAGCTTCTGCTCCGGCGTCAGGTCCTCGTCGTCGTTGTTGCTGTGGGTTTAACACGATAGAGCTCTCTCACTACTGTACTCGTACTGTATCACATCGCTCTCTGTGGGACTGCACACTTACACAGACCTCAGACTCATAACACATGCAAACTACAAATACACACATTTAAAGGGCATAAAAGTGTATAAAAAGTACACATTTCTCTACACAGGACACACATACTGAGTAAAAGTACACAGTGTTTAAAAAATATGTAAAATACTAAATTTATCTTTTACTAAATTAATACTAAATTTTTAGTACATAAAAAGATATACAAAAAGATAATTATATAATATAATTATATAAAAGTATATAAAAAGAGACCCATAAAATCCTAGATAAATGGAATATAAAAAGTACATAAAAAAGAAAATAGTATTTTTTTAGATATATAATAAATTTTAAAAGTATTTAAAATACTGTATATCAATAATATAAAAAAATATAATAGATAAAAAAGTATATATATATATATATATAAAGAGTACTTAAAAATATATAAAAGAGACAAAAATGTTAAAATTCTAGATATATAGTAAATGAAAAATAATAGAAAATATAGTAGACAAAAAATATCTGATTAAATGCTAGAAGATCAGATGCTACAGATTTCTACACAAAAAACAACAAAACATAATATAAATAAAAATGGCATGAGAAATCACACATCAAGTCACATATCATCTCTTGAAATTTGAATCGAATGAGTTGAATCGAATTGGTAATTCCAGGTGAAAATCTATAAACCCTGTTTGGCGTTTATCCTGGAAATGACTGGGAGTGTTGGGATGAATTTGGGATCCAGGATGTTCCCTACTCTCATGTGAGATGAGAAACAACTAAAGCCCGGCTCAAGACCGGAGGAGATGCGAACACCCAAATGAGTCCGGAATAGAGTTCACTAGAGATGAGTTATGTTTTATTAAAAACAGAAACTTTAATAAATGCTGTCAAATATATTTACTCGTTAATGTTAGTTATTGTCAGTGGTATGCTATAGTTTAGTATTTTTTCATATTTTGAGTTAGTTTTTAATTTTATATTTTATACAGTTTTAATTTTTATATGAGTTAGTTTTCAGAGTAATTTTATTTTTATATTTTAGTTTGAAAGTTTTAGTTATTTAGCTGTTATTCAAGTTTAAATTTGATCTATTTTATATTTATTCATTTTATTTCAGTCAATAAATGTTATTGTATTTTTAAACTTTTATTTTGTTTTTAAATGCATTTATTTTTTTTATTTTACTTTTCACATTTTATTGTATTTTTAACTTGTATTTAACTTTGTACATTTTATTGTATTTAAAAAAATATTTAACTTTTCAATTTATTTTACTTTTTAAAATTGTATTTTATTTAACTTTTTACATTTTTATTTTACTTTAAAATGTTGTAAATTTAAATTATATATTACATCACACTTTTAAATTTATGTTTTACTATACTTTTAAACTTTTATTTTATTATTATTTTTTATTTAATCTAACAATTATTTTACTAATTCCAGTTAACCTTTATTTTATTTAAAACAGCAAAAAATCTTATATATATATATATATATATATATATATAGTTAAAATCTTATATATATATCTTATAGATATATATAGTTTTAGTTTAAGTTTTAGTTAACTCTGGCTAATGCATTAACTAAACTCAACCAATGAGACCTTATTTTAAAGTGTTATTTTAAACAAACCTATTAAAAAATGAACATAAATTTGATGTGTTTATATAGATTTTGTGTATTTTGAATGGATGTGTATTGTGAAAAGCACTCTACACATAGATGTGAACTGAAGTGAATTGCTGAATTGGGTTTGTCATCTGTGCGTTTAGCTGCCTCTCAGAACACGCGTCACTTCATCAAAGTCCAGCGGGCGTTTGAATGAAGCGAAGCTCTGGTACAGTTTACCTAGATCTTGACCTCTCTAAAGCGTTCAGGTCCTTGTCCAGCTCCTCCTTGCTCTTGGCACCCAGAGATTTACTGTCCTGAAGATTCTCGTCTCCTTCATCCTCAGACTTGATCTCAGAGCTCACAGACGAGGTGCTCTGACCCTGGAGACCACCCGAGAGAGCTGGACACAAACACACACACAGATCTCCATCATCTCCTCCTCAAACATCATCACTCAGAACATTCGAACACTATTAAACGTCTGCATGTGTTAATCTGACAGTTTCAGTTTCAGCAGAGAGAACATGAAAGAACAACAGAATATATATATATATATATATGTGTGTGTGTGTGTGTGTGTGTGTGTGTGTGTGTGTGTGTGTGTGTGTGTTGTGTCTGTGTGTGTGTGTGTGTGTGTGTGTGTGTGTGTGTGCGCGTGAAGTGGTGAGAGGATGAATGGAGTTCTAGAGCTGGTTCCAGACAACTGGTCAGACTGGATATGAAGAGAAGGAAGACAAAATAAAAGCTTGATTCGGGACAGGCATGCATTCTCCTTCATGGGTGGTTTGTTCTGGTTTGATATGGTTTATTCTGGTTTGTTCTGGTTTGATCTGGTTTATTCTGGTTTGTTCTGGTTTGATCTGGTTTATTCTGGTTTGTTCTGGTTTGATCTGGTTTGTTATGTTTTGTTTTGTTTTGATCTGGTTTATTTTGGTTTGTTCTGGTTTGTTCTGGTTTGTTTTGGTTTGATCTGGTTTATTCTGGTTTGTTCTGGTTTGATCTGGTTTGATCTGGTTTGTTATGGTTTGTTTTGGTTTGATCTGGTTTATTCTGGTTTGTTCTGGTTTGTTCTGGTTTGATCTGGTTTATTCTGGTTTGTTCTGGTTTGATCTGGTTTATTCTGGTTTGATCTGGTTTATTCTGGTTTGTTCTGGTTTGATCTGGTTTGTTATGTTTTGTTTTGGTTTGATCTGGTTTATTTTGGTTTGTTCTGGTTTGTTTTGGTTTGATCTGGTTTATTCTGGTTTGTTCTGGTTTGATCTGGTTTGTTATGGTTTGTTTTGGTTTGATCTGGTTTATTCTGGTTTGTTCTGGTTTGTTTTGGTTTGATCTGGTTTGTTCTGGTTTGTTTTGGTTTGTTCTGGTTCGTTTTGGTTTGATCTTGTTTATTCTGGTTTGTTTTGGTTTGATCTGGTTTGTTCAAATTTGATCTGGTTTATTCTGGTTTGATCTGGTTTATTCTGTCTTGATCTGTTTTTTTTTGTTTTTTTTTTTTGGTTTGATCTGATTTATTCTGGTCTGATCTGATTTATTCTGGTTTGATCTGGTTTGTTCTGGTTTGATCTGGTGAAGTTTAGCCAGCGCAGACTTGCATTAAAAAACATGGTACTTCATGGTACACGTAATATGGTAAAGCATGATTAGCATATTCATAACTGTTATATTTACTCTAGGGTGCTTCAGAGAATACGGCAGTGAGTTTGGACATTTTGATTACAGATATATGCCAAAATAAATTAAAATATTCATTATGCCAAAATAGAATAAAAAATAATAAAAGGCATTTAAGAGAATACTGTATTATATTATATATTATATATATTAAATTATCATGGTACACGCCAACAAACAAATGAATGTAATTGAAAACATTTTTTTTTTTTTACATAAACTTTTAATGAATTTTTATTTTATTTTATTATGGCATATACCTTTACAAATTAAATTGTAAAATCATTGTAAATGAACACAAATGCTAATGTAGTGAAAACACCGATTATTACCATGGTACATGTCTATAATACCATGGTAGAGTTGCTAAAAGTGTTGCCTCCGGCGGATGAAAACCACATCGTGATTCATTCCTTCTGGATGTCATTCACAAATAATCATCTCTGATCCACAGTCCTATTATTTATAATGCTGTTCTTCATATTTCCAGCACTCAGCACCTCATTAACTGTTTGGCTGTGTTTTCCAGAGAGCAGAGCGTTTGCCAAGATCCGCTTTTAAACCAGCCTGGAGTTTTTACGCCTCACTTCCCAGGTCATATACAATTTCCTTTTACATATTCATATTTGAAATATAGCGCATGGTTTAACGCACTCCTAATCGTTCACACATTAGGCTGGAGGCCGGCCAGCGGACGCAGGGAAACCAGCGCTTTGAGCTTTAAAACCACCACACTTCTCCACAAACAGCGGATTCGTTTAATAAAGCCTCTTCTGCTCACCAAAGCTGACTTCATTTGATCAAAAATACAGAAAAATCGAAAAACAAATGTGAAATATTATTAGAATGTAAATCAGCTGTTTTCTATCTGAATATATAGTAAAGTGTAATTTATTCCTGTGACTTTCATCATCATTACTCCAGTCTTCAGTGTCATCCTTCACAAATCACTCGATCTGATTATTTGAATTAAATTACGAATTTTAATGTAACCTTAAACCTATATTTATTCCAACCAGAAATTATTCAGACACCAGATATAATTGTGTTTTTTTTACGAGTGTTTGCAGGACGCTAGTTCACTTATGTAAGTGAGAAGAGCAAAATAAAGTAAACTTGACAACTTAAAAGGTGAAACTAATATATTATATAGACTCATTACATGCAAAGTGAGATATTTCAAGGCAATCCTTTGTTTGTTATAATTGTGATGATTATGGCTCACAGCTTATGAAAACGCCAAAATTCAAAATTAGCATATTGTGCAAAGGTTTTCATATCTGTAATCCATAATCATCACAATTATAACAAATAAAGGCTTGAAATATCTCATTTTGCATGCAATGAGTCTATATAATATATTAGTTTCATCTGTATTATATCACATAATTCTTCATACAGTGACTACCAGTTAAACTTCATCCAAAATGATTCATGTTTTGCTGAAGTGTGTTTTCTGTAATCGCTAATGCTCTTTTTACACACAGACTGAACGACATAAAGCATTGCTTGGTCACTGGTTGAGCTAAACTGGTATTATCTAATTGTGTAGTTAAATTTAACAGCTGACAGATATTCAACATCATTCACATGTGTGTGAGTCCAAAACCAGTCAAATATCAACTGAGTTCTGTTAATGTTTTATTACCATTTTCTAAACTATAGTGAATAAACAGATAATGTGAGAAATGTTGAAGATACTCTGAATAATACATTTAGGTTTGCCTATATATATATATATATATATATATATGTGTGTGTGTGTGTGTGTGTGTGTGTGTGTATAGAGAAATTGTATAAATTTCCAGGCCTTGAATAGAAGAAATCCCTGATTTCTCCCTATTCTCCGTGACCGTGAGAATATGCTATACGTGCATCTGTGTTTGTGAAGATGCTCTAAAATGGCGGCAGATGGAGGGAGAGAAAGAGAGAGAGAGAGAGAGAAAGAGAGAGTGAGGGGGTTGGCATTGAGCCCGTTCTGTGCCCACACTGTGCCAGCCTGAGTGTGTGTTGAGTGTGTGCGAGTGTGTGCGTGTGTGTCTCACCCCTGTACGGGTCGGGCTGGCTGAGGTCGGGGGAAGTGGCCGACGGCACAGGAACCGACCCCTGATTGGTCACTATGGGATGACCGGTCCTCAAACCCACACTGTCCTCACGATGGCCCACCTGGACACACACAGAGAGAGAGAGAGAGAAAAAGATGTTACGAAACATCTAAAATGCAAATGCGTTCAAAAGCATATCAAATCATCTGGAACAGTGGCACACACACAGGCCTTAAAGTTCAGTGCGCTCGTGAACGGCCAACAGAGGGCGCCGTACACCTTCACAACACACACCCTCACACACACCTCCATTTTACATTCGGCTTTGTTTACTCGCACTGTTCCTGTAGAATGCATTATAAATATATATATTTTATATTCTGCTCAGTATGCTGATTTTGAACAAAAACAAGCAGTGTATGTGCAGAATAATACATCCCATAATGCAATGCACTCAGTGTGCCATTTCCAATGTGAATGAAGGTTTCGGTTGAATTAAAGTTGAAGAACGTGAAGAAAGAGACCAAAAAAGGTATTAAAAAAAATATATATATAATATATATATATATATATATATATAAATTCTTATTATGTATATAGTCAAGACGGAGATCAAAATGTGTTTAATTATGCAAAATATTAAATAATAATTTATTAGTTACGCATGACATGACCATTATTATTTATACATTTATAAATCATATTATTATAAATACTAAATTTATTATTTTATTATTTTTAATAAATATTGAAAATAATAATAAAAATAGATAAAATATTAATAAGTGCCAAGAAAGAGACAAATACAAACAAAACAACAATTAAATTAATATACTAATAAAATGAAACATTAAATAATTATGTATCAGTTATGACTCAGCATTATTCTTTATTAACAATAATTTAATTTATATAGGCTATATATATATATGAAGAGTTCAGATGCAAAAGCCTCTAAGTGCCATTTGAAATTTTCTTCTAGAATGATCATTTTTAGCTTGTATATTTAAGTTCAGTAATTTCACTTAAATGGCAATGATAATTACCTATTAATTGTTATTTAAGTGAAATTACTGAACTTAAATATACAAGCTTGATAAAAATCATCATTAAAGAAGAAAATTTCAAATGGCATTTAGAGGCTTTTGCATCTGAACTCTTCATATATATATATATATAAGTGTCAAGAAAAAGACAAACACAAACAAAACGATAATATATATACTATATATATATATATATATATATATATAATTATTTTTTGAAATAGAATCAAATTCAAAATAGATTTCACGAACCCCAGTTGATGTCACTTCTGGTTTGTTCATCTGGATTGAGGTTCAAGTTGCATTGTGGGATTGAGTGTTTTGCACAGCATGATTTTAGTACAGTATATACGGCACATTTTAGCATACACACACACTGTAGAGATAGTGTGTGAACACAGCCAAACTCTCTCTCTCTCTGTCTCTCTCTCTCTCTTAACCTTCCTTCTTTCTCTGTTGGTGAAAACACTGTGAATTTATTCAGGCAGGTAAAATCCAAAGTAATGTCCCATGGTGCCGAGCGTGGAGCGGGCTGAGTCTGATCCATCTGTCTGCCATCACGTTCGCCAACACAACTGACAATTATCTTAATGCCCATATGCTTAATTGTGGGCTCCCTAATTCCCTGGATAATACACACATCCAGCAGGAATTGTGATTTGGCACAAGTTTGCTTCTCTCCGAGTCGCTCTGTTTTTGTTTTAAGGACACAATCTGAGAACCTGTGCAGCCTCTCTCTCTCTCGCGCGGGCTGTAATTCCGGTTAATCCGGTGACAGTGTGGCGCTGGGACGCTTTTGTCTCCCGCCGGCTTCATGCAAATATCACGGAATGTCGCCGAAAGAAGATGGAAAGGTGGCAGTGGAGCCAGTGTGAGGAATATTCCCAATTAGCTTTCCTTTTTAAACTTAAGTTTCATTTGTCACTTTTTATTTTATTCGTTTTCATTATTTTATTTTTTTTACAAAAATATTGGTATTTATGTTTAATTTATTTCAGGTTTACCATTTATTTGCAGTCAATAGTTTAAGTGTTTTTTATCGCAAAGGCAACCTTTAAAAAATTAATTTATTATTATTTTAAATTTGTGCACTTATTTTATTGTGCAATCAACATAAATTAGCATCATTGGAAAATGCAAACAGTCAAAATTCCCATGGAAACCGTTTTGAAATTGCACATGGAAACGGACGAGATTTGGATCATGTATAGATTTAAAAGGGTAAAATGTGTCAAATAGAGGAGAAAGTGCTAGAAAACATTTTGAAAATTAAGGATTTAAGGAATTAAAGAAAATTTTTGTTTCGTTTTTTATTCCGCCAACATTCACTGAAACTATTTTAATCCAATATTTTCTATTTTGTTGTATTTCACTTACTGAAAATGATGGTTCATATGTCCTTATGCACTATTTGATCATTTAATGGGTTCTTCTTTAGTGTTCTGAAACACAATCATGTTTAGGAATAAATGACGACAGGATGTTCATTTGTGGCCGAACGATCCCGTAAAACTGATTGTGGGAAACTAATTCTCCCGGAGTTCCTGCAGTTTCTCAGTCTTGTAGTTAATTAGGGGGTTAGTCGTTAACCGAGACCTTAGAAGACTGATGGTGTTTATTTGTGTGTGTGTGTGTGTGTGTGAGAGAGAGAGAGAGGAGAGAGATGAGGACCAGACGTCCTACTGACAGCAGCTTTACACACACACACACACACACACACACACACACACACACACACACACACACACACACACACACACACACACACACACACACACACACACACACACACACACACACTACACACACACACACACACAGAGAGAGAGAGAGAGAGAGAGAGAGAGAGAGAGAGAGAGAAACAGTGTTTATCTGTTGTAACACACTTGGATTTTAATGAATGAAGTTTAAAAGTCTTTAAATGATCAAAATTTTTTAAAAGCGCTTTTATTTTGAAATAACGGAGTGTGATGTTCTCCATGATGTTCTATTTAGAGCTCTAGGGGTCTTGGCTCAATTTTAAAGAAATCTTTATTCCAAAAAGGTTGTACATAATGAAAAATACATGTAGAATGGGTTATTTACATTATTTCTAGTGATACAGTATGTTTACGAGATGTTTAATTGATAACATTTAATAATTGACTGATTTATGTTGTCAAATCAAATGCTTCTTATTGCCTTTGTTATATGTCAATAGATTGCTCGAAATAAAATAAATTGCGTTCAATTACATTATGACTTATTACAAAATAATTTAAACTCCAAAATTGGCAGAAAATCAAAGAGGTATGTTCCAAATTTGAAGTTGATATCACAAAAATTGAGTTTGCTAAAAGGGTTTAAAATGCCATTTCTATTGTGACACAACGTCAATTTAAAACATATTTTGAGTTGTTTACGCTTTCGCACGATACCTAATTTATGATGATTACTAAAATATCTGATAAAGAAAAAAAGCACTAAAAAATGAGCCGGATGAAATTAATTGAATATAAATCCATAAAATGATGTAACCCATAAAAGGTTCTGTACATGAAACGCCTGACGGAACCGGTTACGATTCCATATAGAACCCTAAAGTAGAACAAAATACAATATTTATGGAAACTAAACTGCTAAAACATCACAACTCATTAACATATGCCCGCCCACATTTACACATCAACACCCAGTTTAAACTGACCAATCATAGCAGAGCTCATATATGTAAGTCTTTAAAGGTACAGCTGCGAAATCAGTCCGTTTCAAGGGCGGAAAATATGAATCTCGCACTAGAAAGTTTTATATGTGGATTTAAATGAAAAATGTGGCCTGTTTTAATTTGAGTGAGTTTCTCTGGACGTTAAACGGTTCTTGGACGGTGGTCTCGTGACATCTGAGGCTCTACAGACGAGAACGCCAGACCTGCTTTTACCAAATTCTTCCGAACTACAAAAAAAACAAAAAAAAAAAACAACAGGATTCACGGAGCGCCTTCAAAGCCAGAGAGAAAATTGCTTCCCGGTGACTCTATTGAATTAAGATGCTTTATTTCTACACAGACTAATCTGGAAACATCTCGTTCTTGGTCTCAGATGATTCTAAACATTAGTGTAGTGATGAAACAATTATGAAAAAATAGGTTCTTCCTCAGAATTTTGCTATTCCGAACGTTCTTAAAAATTAAGATACATTTACTGGAGCTTTTGAAACGTTTTCTCGTTTTCCCGTTAATTTAAGTTTATTTTTCTGAGAACATATTCTTTCTTATTTTAAGCATAAACTCACCTGATCATTTTTTATTTATTTATGTATTTTTGAAGTTCAAGTTTTAAGACTTGCTTCTCCAGATTTAAGAATATAGATATATGTACTGGAAAACAAGACTAAATAGAGTAAGAATGAAAGCTCTCTTATATTAGTGAAACAATATAGATGCATGTTTAATTGTGTGATTTGTGGATTCTGTATATGTGTGTGTGTGCGTGTGTTTTCAAAGTTACAGGCCAAATACAACATCCATCCATCAAAGGCCGAACAATAGAGTGACAGGGTTATAGTCTTAAAAATCAACCAAACAAAAGCTGGAACAAGAAGAGAAACGCCAGCGAGAAACAGCGCAGGAAACGCATCACAGTTCACCATCACGGCAACAAACCAACTTCCTGTGTGAGACGGAGGACTGATGAGGCGGTTTTCAAACACAATACTGTATTTAGCGGCCGTGGTGCGACCCGGAAATAAAGAGGTCACAGGGGTCACGGCCCAACTCGGATCAAACCAGACACACTGACATCAGCAAATCTACAGCAAGAAATATGTTATGAAAAAAAGAAAAATGAAAGAAAAGAAAAGTCGAATAAATAAACAGTATATTACACAAATAAATAAAAAAAATAGAAATGAAAAATATTAAAAATATTAAAAACAAAAAATATAAAAAATAGACAAAAAATAATAAAAAATGAAACTATTAAAGATAAGATTAAATAAATAAACATTAAATAATACAAACAATAAAAATATTAAATTAAATAAAACAATAAATAATAAAATATTATAAATAAAATTAAAGATAAGATCAAAGATAAGA